GGGGGGGGCGCACGAGAATCTGAGATTTTGCCCCTCATTTTGATGTTAAGAACCCCGGGGCCAATTTTGCAAGTCCCTCACCTGGCCATCGTCCTAGAGAGGGGTGCTTGTGCCTGCTTGGCTTGCTATGCGAGGACCACCTGGGGGACCCTCGGTGCCGGGCGGCCCAAGGCTGGCTTGAAGAGCCTTACGCTCTCGCAGACCCTACCAGAGGGGTTAAGGAGTGGCGGCACAACAAGGGCAGAGCCGGCGTGCCACCTTGCAGCTGCCCAACTGACCTCTACCAGGCTGGCTTAGCTGCCAGGCCCTCCAGAGGCTACTGAGGATAACCTGCTTGAATGCTCACGGACTTGAGAGGGGACACCCGCCAAGAGAGGAAACGGCCGTTTTTGCTTCCGGGTTCTGAGCCACTCTAGGATTCGAGTCCACCTTGTCCTCTCTTCCTTGGGAGGAGGGCAGCCCCGCAGAGAGGGGGGAGAGGGGCATCCGGCAGACAGCGGGGCCTGGTGGATGCTGCCCAAAGAGGGAGGGGCCTTCTCCGCATTCAAAACCGTCAGGCGCGCGGCTACGCTGGCGAAGGGACGAAAGGACAGAACCTCAGGTTCTCAAAACAGAGGCCAGGAGGCTCTTGGTCCTCGTATCAAGAGCGCGGATTTCTTCACATTCAGAGGAGTGGGTGGGATGAGACACTCTCTCCCCCCACACACAAGCGCACATACCCCATCGCTACCGTTCGCCTGGACATTCCTTAAGCGCTTCGGCCACCTGCAACTCTCCCCCCGCCCCCACGCGCTGAATTTATGGATCCTCCCCTTTGGAATCCCCCCCTTTTGCCACCGTCGGAAAAAATCCTCGCTTGGCTACCCCCGCCCTCTCTGAAGAGCCCCCACCTGCTAAACCTGGAAATGAACGAGGAAAAGTAGCAGCATCTTATGAAGAAAGTTCATGTTTTGTTTTGTTTTTTTAACGAAAAGACAAAAATACCTTTGCTGTATACCCAACCGGAGTTGGGCTGATGCGGAGCGGAGCAGTTGAGCTGGGGGAGTTTTTTCTCTTTTTGTTTCTCTCTTTTTTTAAAAAAATAAAATAAAATAGTGTTTTGACGTCGGAAAAAGCCGGCAGGAGACGAGGAACTGGATGAAAAGCACCTGCAGCATGAAGAGTCCTAGTGTGCGTGTCTGACGCTCGTGTGTCTCCCCTGCGGGAAGGAGAGGACGTGCCCAGCGGGATGGGTTCCCCCCCCTCCACTCTCCCGTTTTTCTTTCCTTTCCCTACTTGGTTTCATTTTCCTTTTTTTTCTTTTTTTTGGCAAAAGTGCAACCAAACGCCTTCGGTTTCCGCAGTCCGGAGGCCGCCGATGCGTGGCCCACAACTGGGTTGTTGTTGTTGTTGTTTTTAATTCAGGGTCCCTCGACAGTTCTCGGAGCCGCACAAGCAGGGGATCTTGACGTCCTCGATGGGGAACTTGTAGTCATAGGTGATCTCCTCGTTCACGCTGATGTGCTGCTTGGAGTAGATGACGATCTTCTTCTGCGACTCCACCGTGATGACCTTCGCGTAGCAGTTGGGCTGCGGGGAGAGAAGCCGGGTGAGGATGGATGGATATGATAGAGATAGATAGATAGATAGATAGATAGATAGATAGATAGATAGATAGATAGATAGATAGATAGAGATAGATAGAATTGGTAGGTAGGTAGGTAGATAGATGGAAGACAGATAGATAGGAGGAAGGAAGAAAGAGATAGATAACTAGATAGATAGAAGACAGAGAGATAGAAGGAAGATAGATGGAAGGAAGGAAGGAAGGAAGGAAGGAAGGAAGGAAGGAAGGAAGATATAGATAGAATAGGTAGGTAGGAAGATGGAAGACAGAGAGATAGAAGGAAGGAAGAGATAGATAGCTAGATAGATAGAAGACAGAGAGATAGAAGGAAGATAGATAGATAGATAGATAGATAGATAGATAGATAGATAGATAGATAGATAG